CTAACTCCATGCAGAAAGACCCCAGGCCGGGAATCAAACCCAGAACCTTCTTGCTGCAAGGCAGCAGTGCTGCGCCACTGAGCAGCCTTAATTAATGTGCAATTTACAAAATATAATTTCAAAAGCTGAGACAGACTTTCTAACTCCAGGCCTTTAGGAGTCAGTAATATACCATGCAGAGGGGGAGCGAGAGTTGCTTAGATGACACAGAAAAGTAGAAGCACTTTAACATGCAAAAGGACAAGAGCCACAATAATAGACTCTGAACAAGAGAGCATTCAAGGCAATGAAAATAGTGAAGCATCTAAATGCTTGACTGGAAGAAAAAATACTTTTGCCAAATTGGTTCAGCACTATTTGTGATCTAATCTACGTTTATTTTGAATCAGTTAACAAACATCCAAACTGAATTATCTGAATGTTTATCCATCACTGAATTTGAAGAACACAGAAGGTGGAACTGGAAGGCATCTAAGTGGAACAATCTGTGGTGAACAATCTGCTCAGCACCCTCTGTGCTTTTCAAAACTAAAGTTAAGTATTTTGAAACAAAAATATGACAAAAACACTACACAATTGCAGCCGAGGTAGAGCTTAACCAGCAGATTAGCGGTGTATCCATTCAAATTAATTTAGGTGGATTTTAGGTGAACTTTTCAAATGTTGCAAAAAGAAAATATGAGTTAGACCAGTTTCTAGGAAACATAAATTAACCAGGCAAGGAATGTTGACGTATGTTTAGGTTGCACTTGGCTGTAAAAAAAAAAAAAAAAAAAAAAAAAAAAAAAAAAAAAAACAGGAAGTAGAAGCAGTAAGCTATGAGTAATGGACTAAGGTTTTTATTATAGTCTAATTTGGACATTTAATTCACCAAAAGAATGAACCTTTTCAGCACCTGGTCAACCTGACAGTAACATGTCAGGTTGACCAGCCAACAAAGTCTGGCATTTTTTCCACATGTACATCAGGAATCCTAGAGTGGCCACAATTTTTCTCCCCTTTCTTAGAGCACGTTTAATGCAGACCCCATCAGTGTACAGTGCTCAGATGATGCAACTCAGAGTGTCTATTCTTGGAAGAACACAGCTAGCCCAAACTGGACCGGTCTGTTTTTTACCCACACCACAGGGTGACTTGTGGCTCCCTTGCAGCTTGCTCTGCTGGGGATAGAGGAGGGGGAACATTCATTTGTGGTTCTGACTTAAGTTCATTAAGAGTTAAGCTGACCTCAGTCTTTCAGACTCTGCTTTACAGTTAATAATAATAAAATAAAAAAAAGATATTTAACCAGGTCTTTTTAGGGCAAGTATATCACCATATATTAATCAAATTCTAACCACTTGATGTGAGGCTGATCACAGAACAATAGTCTTTGGGAGTGACAAGCAACGCTTTGCCCCAGAGGAGGATGTGGACAGAAGCAGCCAGCCAATAGGAAGCCCGGACATCCTCCTAGACACACAGCCTGCCAATAGCACTTCACAACATGAATGAGCAAGGTAACCAGCCCATTTCCTTTTTGCATATCACTCAGCCATGGGAACATCAAACAATACACAATAGAGGACATAACCGCTCATTAGCTGGGTCCACAAAGCCTGGTATCATTATGTATGCTGACACTGCTACTGGCAAACAGACACAGCACAAACCACTCAGTCCTAAAAGAGCTCTACAAAGAGGTGCTCTCCACATTACACCTGGTCTAAGTGGGCAGCAGTTGTAACACACTGTTACCTAAAATAGCGTCTGTCTATCAGAGCAGTGAAAATGCCAAGCTCAGCCTGACATGTGCACACCCTCGTGCAGATACCCGTCCCACTATCATCTACCCAGCCCAGTCTCCTTTACTCCGTCCGGATCAGACAAGAGCGAACCGGCTGATATACTCACAGTACGTCTTTGCCACAAGCTATTTCTAGTCTTGCATTTCAAGGAAAGGCTTTGATCAAGCTGGAGGCCAGAGCCGAACATTTGGATGGGATTTCCAAATGACAGTCATTAACAACCATCATGGAATCACAATGCCATAAAACAAATATAACTGGACGCAACGGGGCAACATTGGCTTGGTCCAAAAAAAAGAAAAGAAAAGGAGGCATTTACATTTTTGTTTCGTTCGAATACCATGTCAATAAGTTTTGCATGATATCATTTAAAATCAAATCCAATTTCTGGCCCTAATCAGAAGAGTTGGATATGCATGATGTTTATCTGAAAGACTGCTTGTGCTGCTGATGACATCAGTAGGAGTTACTCTGGTTCACAAAGTCACCTGACCTGAACTTGAGTCTGTAGTCTGATACTCTAAGTAAAATGACACAATGAAATAAGGGTTTGAGCCGCTACATGGGTCTTAGAGAGCAAAACTCTTACGTTATTCGGGCCATTTTAATGTAAGACCCTTTAAGTCGACACTGTCCAAGTTGTCAATGAAAAACAAATGCTTTGCTTGGTTTATCAAGCTCTACTGACCTGCAATCAGATGTCAATCTAAACAGAAATACTGGAACACAGATGGTCAATTTGGAGCCTAAGAAAATTATGTCAAAATTCCCCCCCCCCCACAAGTAAAAAAAAAACAAAAAAAAAGAAAGAAAGAAGAAGAAGAAACCAGACATGGCTGCATGTTATCTACTTTTCCTGTAATGCCGATCATTTCAAAACACATCTATCCAACTAAACTCAAAAATCTACAGTCATACAGCGATGCATTAGTCGCTAGGTGACAATGGTCAGGTTCAGGAGCACATGTTTTAGGCTGGAACCGAGGCCCCGACTTTAGAAACTGCATAACACGCCCTGAGGCAGACAGGTTTCTAAGCGGCTTCGTGACGTCATTCATCAACGCCCTGTTGGCCCCGACACCCGCTGGGCAACTTCTATCATGAACAGATATTACAGCAAACAGCTGTATGTAAAGCTTATAAAATAAGTATTATTGTGGTCATCTTTATGACAGATGAGCATATATTTTAGAGTTCTTTTCAGTGAGTCAGCTCACTGCCTCTATGTTTGGAAAACAGCATTTTTTTTTTCTGATTTCAGAAAGGTTTACTATGATTAAGCCTTAAAAGTGCTTTTTTTTTTAGATTTACACTTGAAAAGATGGTCTTATACCAGAGCAGAATATAGCATAGGGGTAACACCAGCAAAAAAAGGCCAGTGATCATCTGAGGGGCTTGATTTCACTCCCAACCCTTGGACCTTCAGCCTCGTGAGACCATCCTGATCTCGCAATCTTTCAAGGTTTCACTCGCAGATCAGTCTGGAGACTCTCCGTTAAAGAAAATTTGGAGCCGTTCACCAAACAAACGTCCAATCAGCGTTGGCTTTGAGGCGGGTTGAGGTGTGACGCAACAAGAAGCGCGACAGTTCAGTCTAAAGAACACGGCGGCTTCAGCCGATGAAACTAGCGTTAGCGTGGCTATCGAGCAAGTTTTATCAGAATTACAGAGTATTTCATTATATTTCTCTGCCGACTGGTTTCGGCAAGAGTAGCCTGGCTTGTGGTTGTGTTTTCGTCGTCGCTCTGTTAGTACGTCATATGCTTCGTTGATCTGATTGGTTTATTTGGCCCGTCTATCACCAACATAGGCCAATCAGCTAACCAGTATTTTCGCCCCTTCCCAAAATTACTTCAACGGAAGGTTTCCAGATGGATATGTGGAGCAAATCCATCTGGCGGAGTCAGGTTATTTGAACTTTGCTACACGTCTTTAATCCTTTCTTTAACCATATTCTGGTTAAAAAAAAAAAAAAAAAAAAAACTCAACTCTTTTTGTGTACATGTTTAAAAACAGATGATTTATGCACTGGGAAACAGGACTAAGATTTTCTGTTTGGAAAAGTCCACTTTTTAAAACTATGGCTGAAAGTAGATCTTTTCCTTCTGATAAAAAAAAATAAAAAATACAGAAACTGAAGGAGCCCTCTGGATGATGGCATTTGCAGTTCTGGAAAGATGGATCTTATTTTGAATTTTCATGGTTGGTAAAAAATAAAACATTTGAAGGGATGAAGCGTACATAGCTTACAAACACTGGTTCCATAATGTGCGAGTTAGAATCCACGTGGCAGACTATGGGAGAATTATCCTGCCATAATGCAAGAGCACATAATTTCAATTTGAGAAAACAATTTCATCTTCTTGCACTCAAAACTTATAATGCTCACACTCAAAACATGCGCTCTCTCTCAAATATTTTCTTTTCTCTCTCAAATCTTTGTTTCTTCTCTCAGATTTATTGCTTCTTGCACAGATATGTTCTTCTCTCTCTTGCCTCCTTCTCTTCGCGCACAAACCGCGCTCTGCACGAATCTCAGATACGCTCGCAAACCCGTAGGCTCTGCTTGCGGATTTTTTCTGCTCTCTCTCGGGTTGCACTTGGATCGTCGCCTAGCAACCATTCCAGCCAATAGAACGACAGCCTGGGAAAGGGTGCGCTTGTTTAACCCTACTGAGTGTGCCTGTGCTACTACGCCACTTATAAGAGCGTCAGCTGAAACTGCTATTTATAGTAGTTTAGTGGCTCGATTCAGCAAAGTTCAGTACTTATGGATAACCCAAAAAATTCTGAATTAAGTAATTTTAAACTTAATGGTTGCTAGGCGACGATCCAAGTGCAATCCGAGAGAGAGCAGAAAAAATCCGCAAGCAGAGCCTACGGGTTTAAGAGCGTATCTGAGATTCGTGCAGAGCGCGGTTTGTGCGCGAAGAGAAGGAGGCAAGAGAGAGAAGAAAATATCTGTGCAAGAAGCAATAAATCTCAGAGAAGAAACAAAGATTTGAGAGAGAAAAGAAAATATTTGAGAGAGAGCGCATGTTTTGAGTGTGAGCATGATAAGTTTTGAGTGCAAGAAGATGAAATTCTTTTCTCAAATTGAAATTATGTGCTCTTGCATTTTGGCAGGATAATTCTCCCATAGCAGACAGAGTTACGCCTGGAAACCAAAATAAGTATAGAAGAGACAGATATCCCAGAGGGCTTTAGACTCACAGACGCAGATGGTGGCGAGCAGCCTGGTGGCGATGAATGGAGGCAAGCAGTTCTGGAAGGCTGGCTGCAAGACGTAGTTGGAGAAGGTGAGGGCAATGACAGCCAGCGTAGTTGGATACATGATGAGAACAGCGCTCCATAACAACAGGAAGCTGAAAAATACAGACAAAGAATGATGAAACATAGTTTCAAAACATCCTATAAGTGCTTATATACACAGTTAAATATTAAACAGTTGCAGATCATAAAATGAGCTGTGACACCGCCTCCTAAAAAATTTGTGATAGACAGTCAAGACGTTTCAGATCCATGCAACGGTTATTACCAGAAACATTGAAAAAGGGATTTTATCAACAGCTCTGAGTTGACACTAGTAAAAAATGTTTAGAATATAAAATTAAAATTTAAAATTTTTTAGATTTTGCTTAATTTTAACTTTTTAATTTAACTTAATACTTTTTTGTTGCTTAATTTTAACTTAACTTAATTTTTTGCCCTGTAAGCTGCTGGTAACCTTAATTTCCTCAAGGTATCAATAAAGTTCCGTCTAAGTCTAAGTCTCTAAGTATAAGTCTTAAAGGGTCCTTCTACTAGCACCAACTAGGCACTTTAAATAAAATATATTATTACTATCATCATCCTAATAATTTTATCTAACCTCTTATCATCCACCTCATTTTTGGGAAATTCTCCTCTATTTTGCATTCCCCAATGGAAAAGCAAATTACTTTAAGCCCAAATTACATGTGTAATTAGGGTTGTCCAAAGTATCGATACTCAAAAAAGTATCGATACTGAAATGTTGTATCCGGATACAATACTCGTTTTTAAAAGAATCGATACAGCCACATAAAGTGCAGAATAGTGGAAAAATGCACTTTCTGAACACTGTGTGATTGAATAATTCTGTGCATTTTTCAGTTTCAGACTTTTTTTGTAACAGGTGCAGCTGCTGAGAATTATTTTTGTTTAACCGGTTTGGCTAGTGTCATTCTTATGTCTGCAAAGCATAGCCAAGTTTTTTTATCAAGCTTGCTTAATATTGTGCACAGCATGCAACCTCAAAATATTATTCTTATTGTTTTTTTATTTATTTCTTGTATTTTTTTAGTAATAAAAATATTTCTGTTGAATTTTAGAGTCTTTATTTTTTATCCTTGTGGTATCGAAAATAGTATCGAGTATCGAATATTTTACTTAGTATCGGTATCGAGTTGAAAAGATTAGTATCGTGACAACCCTATGTGTGATACATTATTTGAAAGCTGACCTCTTGTAGTTTCTGAATATATACATGAGAATCGGGTGAGTAAAACACCCAAGCTGTATCAGTTCAAACAAGACTCAAAGTTGGTTTTGTTATTCCCGAAAATAATAGGTCTCTTTTCAACAGCAGTTATAAAGACATGCTTGCTTTTTCTGGCTGCTTTGTCATGTTTACATTTTGACATGCTCCTATATCTGTGTTTATTGTGCTTTCATGCTCGCTGTGTCCTTAAAATGAACTTGGTGGTTGAATTGTGGAGAATTTAAGCTTTCCAACAACGTCTAAAATGTCTATATTGGTAAACAATTTACCAGTGTAATTTCCATGCATTCTGAGTTATTATTGTAAACGCTTTAAAACGTCGCCGGCTACCCGGTGGGTTTTAAGAGGTTAATGATGGGGGGTATTTGGCACATCACTCATTTAAAACCAAACACACTGTGGGCAAGCCCTTCCCTTTAGACAAATACGCTAATTATCGCTTATCATATATTTAGGTTGCATTTGGCTGTAAAAAAAAAAAAAAAAAAAAAAAAACAGGAAGTAGAAGCAGTAAGCTGTCAGTAATGGACTAAGGTTTTTTAAGTGTTGCAACTGGAAAGTTGCTACATCAGAACTCATTCAACCAATGTGGTTCCATCTCCTCTTTAGGGCATTTTTCTTTTATAAAAGTCAAAAACCATCTTAAGTGAGCATAAAACCTTTCTTGTGAAATCTAACCAGTTGATTCAAGTTTTGCAGTTTCCGTCACGCTCTTCAAAATCCATACTTTAAAATGCAAATAAAAACGGTTCTACTGTGGGCACAACGACAAACCATCAAGCAAGATGTTTTAAAGCTCCCCCCTAACTCTGAACAGACGGATCTGATTACAAAGTTTATTACGAGGAACGATTTCCAACTGACAGCTGTTGAAAACCGTGGCTTTTGTTCCACGTAGCATTTTCTGGATATTACATTTCACCATCTAGTAAGCAGACTCAAACTGTAGCATTTTATGTCACCATAAGTTCATTTTCTATGTAGAGATTGTTTAAAATGTTTCAAACAGGAGCAGTGAATGAGATTAAAATAAAACATAAAATGGGCTTTATAGATCTTTAATGGATTAATTACCGATTAATCTAGAACCCATCATTTACTTTGCCCTTCTAGAATGTGCAGACATCTTTGTGTGTAAGTTTTAAGGATTTGTCTGAGGTATTAATATTTTTTTTTACTTAATATTGTTATATCACTCCATTTACAACCATATCTTAGGCTTTTCATCATAAACAAGATAAACTGTCAAAAGATGCCCATCACTACCCAGAACACAAAAAATTATTACACAGTTCTTTCTGTTGAAAAAGTGGGATTTTCCAACTAACTTTATTTACAGAGGGATACTTTATCTATATTGCTTAAAATCGAACAACCAGTTTTCTTAGTAGGGTAGGGAACATGTCAACACAAGCATGAAGAACTAACGACTCTTGGAACAAAAACAGTTCACACACACTGATTCATTAGTACGGAAGAGAATTAGGGCCACTGGAAGAAAAAAAAAGTTAACTGATTTTTAAATTTTATTTCAGTTTAATATGGGAAAAAAGTCAGAATTCTGACTTTAATCTCAGAATTCTGACTTTAATCTCAGAATTCTGACTTCTTTCTCAGAATTCTGACAGCTAACAAACATGTTAGCATCAAGCCATAGCCATGTCTGTTTTAGAGACTAGCTCTCTTGTTTTAATGACCTTCTGCTCCTCCATTAATGAGGGGACCCCTCGGGCACGTCATTTTCCCACCAATCTGTCACTGGCCACCTCAAACAATTCACATCTTTGTCAGTGAAGCTGAGTGCTCCAACATCTTTTCCTTCATGGTGCCCATCTACATTAAGATCCAAAGTTCTGAGAAAAAAAGTCAGAATTCTGAGAAAAAAAGTCAGAATTCTGAGAGAAAAAGTCAGAATTCTGAGAGAAAAAGTCAGAATTCTGAGAAAAAAAGTAAGAATTCTGAGAAAAAAAAGTCAGAATTCTGAGATTAAAATCAGAATTCTAAGATTAAAGTCAGAATTCTGAGATTAAAAGCAGAATTCTGAGATTAAAAGCAGAATTCTGAGATTAAAAGCAGAATTCTGACTTTTTTTCCCATGTTAAACTGAAATAAAATAAAAAAATCAGTTAACTTTTTTTTTTTTTTTTTTTTTTTTTCAGTGGCCCTAATCCTCTTCCGTACATTAGGGCCTAACCAGTCAGCCATTAGAATAAAGGCTAAGTACAGCTCTACAAAACTTAGGGTCATACCAAGGTCCCCCAGTATCAGCCTCCAACATGTCGTTTATAATTCACATTTTTTTACATGCTAGTAATTTTACAAGTGGACCATTTTGGTGCAGTCACCATCAATACATTTAAATGTAGGATTCTGCCCAAAGCTTTAGAAAGCCATGTTTCACAAGGGTTCAATACAAGGGTGTAACTTTGTGATAAAGTTGGTGGGAAAACTCGGGTGGAGCATGATGGACCTACAGTTACTCGACCCGAATTCTTTTATTAGGTTTTTGTATTTTCCAATTAGCTCAAATATTTTATTAAATAAATGCTTTTCTATTGTTCAGAACCATAATACACGGATATTTATCTCTGTTATCTGTTTAAAAATATTTATGTATCTATGTAGTAATATAATGATGCCAGAAAAAAAAAATGTAGAAGTGCTGCAGTCTGATTCTGTCTGTTCTATAAGAAAACATGTTAATTTTAACCTGTAACTGGGAGTCATGGTCTCTAAAAAGCCAAGATTTTATAGTAAAGAAGAACAACATTTAAACTCAGTTTTTTCAAGCTTCTTGCGTTTTTTTACCAACTTGTATAAACTTCTAATCTGTTGTCATTTTTAGCAGAAAAAGCTCTGTATGTTTTTAGTGGCATCTCTAATTTATTTTAACCAACCTGTCTCCTTTCTTTTACTATAGCATATAGTGAAGTGGCTGCTGGTTAAATTAACCGAGTGCTGCTGTGCTGTTTGGACACCACTTTTTTTAGTCATTACATTTTATTAAGGCGTTATTTGTTAAAAGTTAAAAGGTTCTTTAAAATTATGCTGAAAATTATACAGAAATGTACTGATATAAAAAAATATATAATTTGCATTTTCAAATACTTAAATACTTTATATGCAGGTACTTTTGAATACAGAAGTATTTTCAAAATTAAGTACTTCAATACTTTAACTTGATTAGAATTTTGACTGTTTAACTTTTACTTGTAGTCAAGTAAGATTTGACTGAGTATCAATACTTTTACTCAAGTACTACTGTTGAGTAATCCGTCCACCAAGGTTATGTTCTCTACTTTGCTTTTCTCACGTTTTACTTTTAAAAGTGTAAAGCATTATGCTAATGAGACATTAAGTCAACATGGTGTTCTATTGGCCTTTGAGTCGATTTACAAACTTTGATAAATCGATTATAATTTAGAATGAAAACCAGGGTTGGGAACAAAGGATCAATAGAAACCGGTTCTAACTTTTTAATCCTGCCAGAATCGTTCAACTTTAAATTATTTTTTATGCCTAGTTTTAATACTTGGTAACCTTTTGAATTTGTAAGTGTGGCCCATGAATAATTAAAGACATGGTCAGTTTTCTACCAGCACTTGAAAATGGATTATATAATTTTAAGGATGGGGATTCATGATTAAAAACCTCTGAATTTAGGATGAGAGCCCAATCTTTGAAGTGTTCACTGGTGTTTCCCCAAGTTAGGCTCCCCCTGCATTTGGATGCATAATCGCTTTTGCATCATTTGATTTTAACAGATGTCCGTCTGGTTTCTTTTTATGGAGGACCAACTCTGCCATATTTAAAAATAAACACATAAATAAATAAATGCTCAATAAATATACAAGCATACAATTCATTGCCAACAAAAATACAATAAACAAATAAATGTAAGAAGGCAGAAATGAGGGCAGGCAGAAATGTAAAAAAACAAAAAACAAAGGACAAAAAAATAAATAAGGTAAATATTACAAAGGTAAATAAAGAAGCTAATTAAAAGAGTTATATACATTTATGTCTCACTGTATAATTTCATTTCTACTTGCCTTTATTTGTTTATTGTATTTTTGTTGGCAATTAATTGTATGCTTATTTATTTATTGAGCATTTATTTATTTCTGTATTTATTTTTAAATATGGCAGAGTTGGTCCTCCATACCTTTTGAGTTCCTGATAGAATAAAATAACTCCTTAATCTACAGCTACCAGACGTATAAACAATTTTAAGAAAAACGTTATTCATTGTTTATTTCCACTTAGGATCTGTTTGTGAGACTCACTAACTGAACTTCGTACCAAATCCCGTTTATCCCTTTGTCAAAAAAAAATAAATCACACGTAGTTGAGGCACTGAGCAACACAAAATAAATTCTTTAGCGTAACCTTCCTTAGCAAAACACCTTTGTGCTGCTTTTTCCAAAAACAACACTCTGCCTGTAAGAATCAGGACAGTAAATTTATTAAATATGTGTTTTGCAGTCTAGGAACCTGCAGCATCACATGCTTGATATGTATAAATGTTCGAGGGTTTTGAAAGTAAAAGTCCATGAAGGTAAAAGACAATTCAGAAGTTTTATATAAAAGTTTAAAGGGTACATATTGTAGGGAATATCTATAAACCCTATAAAAATAACATTGATAATTCACAGCAAGTTTATAGAAAGTTAAATGATAAAATTAGAATTAATCAAGAAGTTCATCTATCTCGGTTAAAATATGTTAACTTTTATGACAATTTCTCTAAAAAGAAATGGAACTGAGAATTGTATAAATCAAAACAAGGAGCCAAAATCTAAAGGTGGCAACTAACTACTTTGCTATATTCAATTAAACTCTATTTTTTCACTTAATCGGATAGCAAAAGATTCCTTTAAGATTTTTTACAGAATTAAATCGGGTGGAACTAAAACTTTTCCACTTGAGTAGTTCTGAATAGAGCATATTGACAGACGAAAAAGGTATTTTTTTTTATCTTAAATTCAAAATGTTATATTATTTTTTTTAATAATTTTGGTATAGTTAATGCTCTTAGTGGTTTAGTCTGTCAGCTAAAGGCATGTTTTAGAGTCTCTATACTCCAGTTAATAATTAATTTATTTCTAAATTAGTTGACAATTACTCAGCACCTTTTACTTACCCTACAAGCCCTCCAAAGATCTCCGTCACATAAGAATAGTCTCCTCCAGATTTTGGGATTGTGACGCCCAGTTCAGCGTAACACAATGAGCCGAGAGCACAGATCCCTCCTCCACAAACCCAGACGATGAGTGACAGTCCCACAGAGCCTGCATGCTCCAGCACTCCTTTAGGCGAGATGAAGATCCCTGAGCCGATGATGTTCCCTACAAAGATAAAGTTTCATTTATTAGTCGCCTTTGCCAGAAGGAAGTTCAAACAATGAACAAATTCAGAGTTCATTGTGCTTTCTAAGACACTTGAAACTGTTATACTTGTTAAAAATATTCTTCAAACATCATCATACTGAGAGACATTATTGGATTCTACAAAATACAAAAAATATAAAGCGTATGAGATTCTATACAGCTTTCATCCACTGGGCGGAGCCAAAAATAAATTAAAATATTGATTAAAACTAAAAGTTATTTGGAACTGCTTTAATGTTCCAAACACATCCATGTGTGTTGCCTTTAACTAGTGTTGCGGAGATGCCATTTTTTTGGCCCCGATGCCGATACCCGACACCTGGCTGTGCAGTACGGACCGATACCATTGCAATACCATCTGTTTGAAATCGATGTGTGTGTGTGTATATATGAAGAACTGCATACTACTTGGAAGCGACAATAGTTGAATAAACGTTTGGCGCTTAAAATGGTATCGGTGCCCTATTTGTTGGTACTCGCCGATACCAATACCACCATTTCAGTGCTGGATTGGGGCCCTGTCCAATACCGTTAGAGGAGCAACACTACCTTTAGGTCAAGCAGGCTCTTTAGTAATAATGTCCATCCTCTGGCCTGTGCTGTACAAGCCAATGGGGAGCAGAAGGTCAATCTAGACTGAAGGACATTAGTTGAAAATCTGCTAGTAGAGTCAAGCTGGATTCAAATCTGCTGCTCTAGAGATGTTGATAAATCAAAAACACAGCAGTCACTTATTTGATTGTGTACACGAGTGGGTAAATAATCCATGTTGTTATCCATGGGACCAACAAGCACTAGAAGAAAACAGGAGTGTTTGCTGCAGGTCAACTCCAAGCTGTGTTCAGCAAACGTCTCTTCTGCTCAGCCTCTTTAGACGCAGCTGAACTCTAAAAGGGTCCAAGGCTCACTTTGCAGCTTTTAACCTACATCTAAAAGGCCACCCAATGTTATGAGTTCAACTTTAGCATTGGCATGTATGACATCACCCTCGCCAAAAGAAAAAACACAAAATAAAAACGACAGCATGGAAGAACGTAACCAACTAACAGCTGTCAAAACAAATGGTGTTTATACACTGACCTCCATGGTTCCCCTTCCTAGGGGTAAGTTTAGGGTAGAAGGGTTATGTGCAAAAACTCCTTCTCTGAGGGTAAACATTCTGGCTGTTAGAACCAAGTGAGGCGTGCTTTTGCTCTGAATGCTCCCTAATGAAGCAGAGCAAGAGAGGAGGACCAGGATGTGCATTTGTCATTGTCTCACTTGATGGTGGACACTGTTGAGATGCAGAGCTGTTACATAAAGCCTTTGTTGTGTTTGTTATGTCATGAAGTTCAGGACTGCAGCTGAATGTACACTATATTGCCAAAAGTATTTGCTCACCTGCCTTGACTCACATATGAGCTTAAGTGACATCCCGTTCCTAATCCATAGGGTTCAATATGACGTCGGTCCACCCTTTGCAGCTAGAACAGCTTCAACTCTTCTGGGAAGGCTGTCCACAAGGTTTAGGAGTGTGTTTATGGGAATTTTTGACCATTCTTCCAGAAGCGCATTTGTGAGGTCGCACACTGATGTTGGACGAGAAGGCCTGGCTCTCAGTCTCCGCTCTAATTCATCCCAAAGGTGTTCTATCGGGTTGAGGTCAGGACTCTGTGCAGGCCAGTCAAGTTCATCCACACCAGACTCTGTCATCCATGTCTTTATGGACCTTGCTTTGTGCACTGGTGCACAGTCATGTTGGAAGAGGAAGGGGCCAGCTCCAAACTGTTCCCACAAAGTTGGGAGCATGGAATTGTCCAAAATGTCTTGGTATGCTGAAGCATTCAGAGTTCCTTTCACTGGAACTAAGGGGCCAAGCCCAGCTCCTGAAAAACAACCCCACACCATAATCCCCCCTCCACCAAACTTTACACTTGGCACAATGCAGTCAGACAAGTACCGTTCTCCTGGCAACCGCCAAACCCAGACCCGTCCATCAGATTGCCAGATGGAGAAGCGCGATTCGTCACTCCAGAGAACGCGTCTCCACTGCTCTAGAGTCCAGTGGCGGCGTGCTTTACACCACCGCATCCGACGCTTTGCATTGCACTTGGTGATGTATGGCTTGGATGCAGCTGCTCGACCATGGAAACCCATTCCATGAAGCTCTCTGCGCACTGTTCTTGAGCTAATCTGAAGGCCACATGAAGTTTGGAGGTCTGTAGTGATTGACTCTGCAGAAAGTTGGCGACCTCTTCGCACTATGCGCGTCAGCATCCGCTGACCCCGCTCCGTCAGTTTACGTGGCCTACCACTTCGTGGCTGAGTTGCTGTCGTTCCCAAACACTTCCATTTTCTTATAATACAGCTGACAGTTGACTGTGGAATATTTAGGAGCGAGGAAATTTCACGACTGGATTTGTTGCACAGGTGGCATCCTATCACAGTTCCACGCTGGAATTCACTGAGCTCCTGAGAGCAACCCATTCTTTCACAAATGTTTGTAAAAACAGTCTGCATGCCTAGGTGCTTGAATTTATACACCTGTGGCCATGGAAGTGATTGGAACACCTGATTCCAATAATTTGGATGGGTGAGCAAATACTTTTGGCAATATAGTGTATGAGTTAGGGGCCTAAAATCAGACCCCCAAGCCTACCTGCAACAGTCTTTAAACCAAAAACATTTCCTATAAACCACTGTTTGCACCATGGAAGCTTTAGGTTTCTGTACTTTGTCAAAGAATTTTCAAAGTTTCCTCGGAGAGACAAACGATAATCGCTTTGCTCTGGATCCCTGTCAGAGAGATGATGATTGGATTTTCTATTCAGCCCCATTTATTCTGATAACCCTTCAACCATTTGTGATGCGCATGTCAAATCTAATGTGGGGAAGGATGCACTAAGCATCCCCCTGAAGTGACACATGGTGCCTTCTATCACATAAAATCTTCATATCAATCAGTGGAACCTCCGAATAGGAATTGTTCTGAACATCTAATGGTGCCTGACTGCCTCCAATTACACATCTTTTTCCCCAATAACAAGGCCTAGGACAGTAACCCGACTCCGCAAGATGGATTTGCTCCGCATATCCATCTGGAAACCTTCCGTTGAAGTAATTTTGGGAAGGGGCGAAAATACTGGTTAGCTGATTGGCCTATGTTGGTGATAGACGGGCCAAATAAACCAATCAGATCAACAAAGCATATGACGTACTAACAGAGCGACGATGAAAACACAACCACAAGCCAGGCACAAGCCAATTGATAGATCAAACTCTTGCCGAAACCAGTCAGGAGAAGAGCAAAAACATCTTTTCCTCTGAGAAAAGCCTCCAGAGCAGTGTTTTGCTCTTCTTTCAGTGAAGAAATACTCTGTAATTCCGATAAAACTTGCTCGATAGCCACGCTAACGCTAGTTTCATCGGCTGAAGCCGCCATGTTCTTTAGACTGAACTGTCGCGCTTCTCGTTGCGTCACACCTCAACCCGCCTCAAAGCCGACGCTGATTGGACATTCGTTTGCTGAACGGCTCCAAATTTTCTTTAACAGAAAGTAGCCAGACTGATCTGCGAGTGAAACCTTGAAAGCTCGCAGGATGGTCTCACGAGGCTACTAGGACAGGGGTGGAGCATTAAATTAGACGTCCCACATACTCAGACAGACAAGCCAACCAGGATTTGTTTTCTCAAGGGTAGGGATGAGAATCGAAAACTGGTTCCTGTTCAGAACTGGTTCTGTGTGTTCCAATTCCATGGCACCGTTTGGCAGCTCACTTAACGATTCTCTTAACGATTCCAGACAACACCAGAGCCGAGCGCTGGGCAGCACGACTTGCGTCAAGTTTTTTACGCAAGTTACGCACGTACGGCATTCAGTAAGCAAGTACGACGTGACCAGACGCAAGTCTAGAAAAGCAAAACAAAAGCGATCGAAAGTTTGGCTTCATTTTAAGGAAGAGAAAGATGGCAACAAGGCGCTTTGAAATCATTGCAAAGTGGCACTAACATCCGCTGGAGTAAATATACAAACATGCAGAAACACCTGCGCACACAACATGGCATAGATTTTAACGTATGCCCTGTTTTTGATGTTCGAAGGCATGCATGGAAGGCAACTCTGATGGTAAGTAGCTAGTTTTATATCACTGGCTGTGCTCAATGTGGTTCCTAGTAAATCAGATGCCATTTCTGGAACTAAACCAATTTCCTACCTCTCTTTGGGGTTATTAAACATGCTACGAAGTTGCTCCGCAGTTCAGGGAGCGAGAGAAAGGTGACGCTCGTTTATTTAAATCAGGGGGAGACGAGTTTATATCCCAAAATTGTACAGTATTGCTTTTCCATTAAACGGATGCCTTCTCCATTAGATTTAGATGACTGACGAGACGTGTAGCCTGGCTGGCTCAGAGGCTGGCAGCTCCCGTTCGCCGCCTTCCGTTTTCGCCGAGGAAGGCAGAAATAGAATGTCCTAGGAGACGGTAGACGAATGTCACCATGCACTTACCAAGTTCATTGTTTCACAGAATCGATAAGGGATTGAATCGTGAAAATCTTCTTCCCAATCCTGCTCAAGGGACATCTTATATATTTAGCTTAAGTCATTTATAATTTTGAAAACCCCAAAAAAATAAATAAAAGTTTTGGATACTTAAGCGATGCATAGTAGTAACTCTAGTGGCAACTGAGGTGGACAGAAGATTTAATTTATAGATCTTAAGCTTAAAAAAAACAAGACTGTTGAAAGCAAGAAGACAGCATTTCATTTTTAAAGAGAAATAGAAATTCTTTTCTCAAATTGAAATGATGTGCTCTTACATTATGGCAGGATAATTCTCACATATGTGCCACTAAGATACTCTAATTAGAGAGCAGTAGTGAAACTTCAATATTGTATTTTCATGGCCTAATTTACCTGACAGGATGTTTTCAGAAATCTGTTATTAGGCTTTGCACAGATAAGATTTTTTATTCATGGA